CCAGAAATAGTGCAGTCCAATATCTCTTGCCATTTGTAGAATCTGTATTCTAAGTGTTTTCTTGATAAGTCTTATGTGGACTTCTCATGACAACTTGTTGTTCATTGGATATCTTAAAAAAATTCGAACCCCTCCATCTGTTCTTTTTATCTGCTTGACTTTTGTTATCACTGGTGCTTCTGCCGAAATCACTCTCATTGTCTCTGCCAAATTTTCTCCCCTTTCTTCATCTATGTTTTGACATCTGAGATAGAGTTCCAGTTCATTGATCTCTCCTTTCCGTATTCTGCTCTTATCATTTCTCTCCACACTCGATTTGCTGTCAATGTCAACAATTTTCTTACCACTTTCATATGTATCTGTAATTTTTTGAACTCTGTCCTCAAATTTCATTGTTGTTTTATAAGTAGTCTCAACTCTTCCCTCTGTACTTGAGGACTTTTAATGCACTGGATTTGTTGTTGTTTTGTCAAGTTTGAATTGATTGCATCTTATCTATGATTTATTTATATAAAATGAAATGTAGCCATTTTAATAAATGCATTCACATCATAAGATTCTTCTTCTTGTAATTTGAAGTAAATCAGGCTAGGGAAAAATATATTGGCTGTAACATAAAAAACATAACCTGCTTATTGAATTAATCCACTTTCTAAAATTTTTGCAAAATATATTGAATTACAAATTAAGCAAATAGCTTGGTCTTGTGCATCAGGCCAAATCACAAAGAAGCATTAACATTAAGGAAGCTTTATATGTTGTGCAAATGTAGTTACATAATTTTAACTGACTTACTGTAGATAAGTATCTTCTGCAAATACTCGTGAAATTCTGAGTGCTTTCAAGTAAGTGATTTAGTGGGAGGCCTCAGTAATTTTCTTTAAAAATGGTAGTCAGCCTCATCATTAACTATTATGTAGTCTGTAGCCTATGATGATATTTTAAGATCACCATCATAAAGACTTTGCTACACAAATGACTGTAACCCAGAATTTCCCTTGATACGAAGTGAATGCTTGTTGATTTGACTAACGCTTCAAGGAGTAAAATCTGCAGAACAAAATTATTGTCAAACTACCTCAGACTTTAATTTGCCTTTGGAATGATGTTAGATTGCCTCTGGCATGGCCTACGTGGAGAGGATGAACTACGTTCACAGAGATCTCCGAGCTGCCAACATCCTTGTGGGGGAGAACCTGGTATGCAAAGTAGCTGACTTTGGACTGGCACGACTGATTGAGGACAATGAATACACAGCAAGACAAGGTATGGTCCCTCTTTAGCCTGTTTAGATTAAAAAATGCCATCTCCTAAAGAATTGCTGCTTCAGAGGGGAAGAAGGTAGTATCAGTAGGATGTAGGCATCGTCTCGCTCAGCAGATACTAGTAAGAGGTTCATTTGCCAGCAAGATATATACCGTACTTTTCAGAGCATAAGACCCACTTTCCCCCCTAAAAAAGAGGGTGAAAATCTGGGTGCACCTTATACAATGAATACAGCATTTTTGGCCTCCTGAAACCCCGCCTCCTTCACAAAAATGGTCATGCGTAGCCTTTAGGAGGCTTTCATAGTGCTCCTGGGGTTCGGGAGGGCAAAAACGAGTGAAAAATGAGCTGTTTTTTGCTCTTTTTTGCCCTCCCTCCCCCCAGACCCCTGAAGCACTCTACAAGCCACCTAAAGGCTATGCATGCCCATTTTTTGGCAAAAAGGGGCCCATTTTTGTGAAAAATTGGCCTTTTTTGCCCACTCAGCCCCAGGAGCAGTTTGCAGGCCTCTCAAACTCTCTGCATGCCCCATTTTTCACAAAAAATGAGGTGTGCAGACGGTTTGGGAGGACTGCAGAATGCAAAACCTTTTTTTAAAAAAATTACCTCTTCAAAATCTTGGTGCATCTTATACTCTGGTGCGTCTTATAGTCTAAAAATGCGGTAATTAGGTATGTTTCAAATTACTATGATGTTGCTTACAGTGGATGAATGATAAAAAGTAGTTAGTAGACATGACAGCACATGTGAATGTAATTCACCTCCATTTGTCTTCTCTTCTTGTGATCCCTAGAGAAGAAACCCAAATGAGAGTTTTCAGCCTTTATATTTTTTATTTACATTTCTGTTTCCGGCTTAGGTGCTAAATTCCCCATCAAATGGACTGCTCCAGAAGCTGCTCTGTATGGTCGGTTCACTATCAAGTCAGATGTTTGGTCCTTTGGAATACTCTTGACAGAACTTGCCACCAAAGGTCGAGTACCATATCCCGGTAAGTGTGTGTTCAGTTTTGATATAGGTGCCAAGAGCTTCAAACGCTTCTGTAGGGAGTTCTTTCCATCTGCCATCAGTTCCTACGGGATAAAAAAATCTAATGAAGAAATACAATATGAAGAAAACCAGATAATTCATGAAAGAGGAGGCTAGAGTGTGGCTGACACTACATTTCTTTCCCCTTGAAAGGCAGGCCCTACTAACTGTAACTGATGAAGACTGCCATGTAAATACAGGCAATGGCAACTAAACTTCATCTCTCCAATTCTTCACCCTCTCAACCCAACCTTTGGATGGGTTATGACCAAGCCAAAACTTTTGTCCGATAGCATACAATAGACATAGTGTGCCAATTGGACTAATGCCCCTGAATGTTTTAATTGGAGAGTACCATGTTTCCCCAAAAATAAAACCTACTCAGAAAGTAAGTCCTAGCTTGACTTTTACACATGTGCCTAATATAAGCCCTACCCACCCACCCCAAAATAATCCATAATTAAGAACCCACACCCTCCAGGGTGCACAGGTAAAAATTAAGGACATGGTGGCTCAGTGGCTAAGACACTGAGCTTCTTCATCAAAAGATCGGCAGTTTGGCGGTTTGAATCCCTAGTGCCGATTAACTGAGTAAGCTCCCGTTACTTGTTCCAGCTTCTGCCAACCTAGCAGTTCGAAAGCATGTAAAAATGCAAGTAGAAAAAATAGGAACTACCTTTGATGGAAAGGTAACAGTGTTCCGTGCGCCTTTGGCATTTAGTCATGCCGGCCCCATGACTATGGAGACATTTTAGAACAGCGCTGGCTCTTTGGTTTTGAAACGGAGATGAGCACCGCCCCCTAGAGTCGGGGACAACTAGCACATATGTGTGATGGGAATCTTTACCTTTACCTTAAGATCCCACCCACTCCAGGGTGCACAGGTAAAAATTAAGCTAGGATGGGGATGGGGGGTGGTGGAGCTGCCGTACTACTTACTTTTGGATAGTTGCATCCAGGCCTCGCACACCTCTGCCCATTTCTTCTGCAGCCAGCTTGGTTTCCTGAAGGCCTCTGTAGCCAATAACAAAGCTCCAGATTGATCCAGAGCTCTGTTATTGGCTACAGAGACCTTCAGGAAAGCCTTGCTGGCCTTACCAGATGAAGAAGTTCCTGAAGGCCTCAGATAGCGAAAAAGAGGTTGGAAGCACCACGTGCCAGTGAGGTGAGCCAGTGGATGAAATCCCCCCCCCTTGAAAATAAGATCTGATGCCTTTTTTAGTGGCAAAAAAAATAAGACGGGGGCTTATTTTCAGGGAAACACGGGTATACTATTTGATTCCAACAAAATAAAAAAGAAGAAAATTGTGAAATAAGGTACAATTTGCAAGTATTTTCACTCCGTACCAATTATATTAAGAATCTCTCTCTCTCTCTCTCTCTCTCTCTCTCTCTCTCTCTCTCTTTCTTCTTCTTCTTCTTCTTCTTCTTCTTCTTCTTCTTCTTCTTCTTCTTCTTCTTCTTCTTCTTCTTCTTCTTCTTTTGTCTCTTTCTTTGCCCTTCTCTTGTGTCAAAGGCATGGTGAATCGGGAAGTCCTAGATCAAGTGGAGCGAGGTTATCGGATGCCCTGTCCACCAGAATGCCCAGAATCTCTCCACGATCTGATGTGCCAGTGCTGGAGAAAGGATCCCGAGGAAAGGCCAACCTTCGAATATCTCCAAGCTTTCCTGGAGGATTACTTCACATCCACAGAACCCCAGTATCAGCCAGGAGAAAATCTATAGGTCTGAGGACTGGACCAGTTGCCAGAAGATTTTATGCTGCTCCAATGGCAAATGTGCTCTAGAGAGGAACTTTTGAGACATACTAGAATCCCTGCTGGAGTATTAGCCAGGGTGTTTTCATCATTCTGGCAATTTGCCCTTCTTTTTAAGGATTGCACCAATTTACTTTGTTTGTGGTTAACAAAAGCCTTGATGGATGGTGAGAGTGAACGAAGTCTCATTTCAATATGAAGTTGGTTGTAGTACAGCAGAGAAGTTTCTGGAACACCAAAACTTTCTGCAAAAAAAATAAAATAATCAAGAGCCAAGATCCTATTCCTGAAAGTCACTTATTTTCAGGACTGTGTCCTCCATCAAAACCACTCCTGACTTGCTTAGAAGGAATTGCAATCAGGACAATCCTGCATTTGATGCAGGACCGTTCTGCGTCAAAGCACTTGAGTTGTTTCTGATTGAATGCGGATGCTAAGGAAGTATGCCTTTCAGACTCTCGTGGCTTTTGTTCTTCTTTATGGACAAAACCAGCACAATTCCCCTACTTGTACTCAAATATCTGGATCTAGGCTGACTGAATCCAAGGGAAAAAAAAAGTAGCTCGCTTCTATTGTGGACACTGCACATTTTGTGTGTTTGTAATCTCTCCTTTTTTTATTTTCAACACCATTTCCTTCTGTGCCACTGTCTATCCAGTCTTGTCCTGTTCGTGGAGGTGCACTTGCCAATCTTAGCCATATAATAGGTGGAACTGGATGTATTGGGTCTGTTTAGAAAAGGTGTTGTTCTTTGCCTTCTGGCTGTAAATGAACTAAAGGACATTCTTGGGAAAACTGTACCCAGCATATAGGACATATAATGTCATAAAGCAAACAACGATCCCCAAATTGTTCAGGACAGTGAGCTAGATCTTGGACTGGAGGCTTGTCTTCCCATCTAGCCCTTTAATTCAATAGACAGCTGAAGATTATCAGTTTCTTCAGCCCATAAAAAAGTAAAGTGGCAGGATCATAAATCCTTCTTCTCTCTACCCATAATGAACTGCTAAGCTGTTAATACCAGTCTCCTGCCTAGGAAATATTAGTCTTCCACATAGCATTCTATAAATTCTTTAAGCACACACTCAGCTCACATCACTGCCTTTTAATTTTAACCCAGTCTGGGATTCCTCAGTGCCTTGGAAGCATAATTCTGCAGCAGGAAATGGCCTGTTGTGTTTACTATAATACCCATGGTCTAATCACTGCTTCAACGGCCATCCATTTTCTTTGCCATGATTTATGATTGAGCAACATACACTGGAAGGACGGAAGTAAAAATACTCAAAATTTAGGAAAACCTATATAATTCAGCAAAATCTGTTATCCTTACCCATTTTCCCTGTTCAGCCATTTTAACTGTCTTCCCAGTTAAGGAATATAATTTCAGGGATTTAAATCCAGTCTCCTGATCCAGAAAACACACTGCAAAATCTATGTGGGCTCCTTTCAGAGTGATTCTTAGTCTTCCTTCCCCAACCCTATGCATTTCACCTACTTTGGATTAAAAACCCCATCTGCCAGGAAGTGGATGGTGATAATTGTGATCAAAACATATGAATAGTATTGTCTTTGAGGGAGGCTGCTATAAGAAATCTAAAATCCTGTTCTCTTATTTTATTTTCAATAAAAATTAATAACATTAAAAACTAATGTACTATGTAAAGTTTGGCAAAGGGATTGTGAAGAAATGAATACTTAATCTTTTACTTCTGGAGAGTAAGGTAATTCTTTAATTTTTAAACATTCTTTTAGGGAAAACCCTACAACAATTTAAATAAAATTAAAAGCGTAAAAATAGGGCAGTACAGTAATGAAAATCCTATTAAAGGTCAAATGATTTAGCAAATCTTTGGCTTCTGTATGAAGATATAATGATGGTGCTTGGTAAAAGTCATTTGGTAGGTAGCTCGACAATTTGATAATGTAAAAAATGTACTGAGAAGGCCCTGTATATATACAGGGATATTGACATACTGGCTCAAACCAATTGTCTGGACCAGTATGTCATCACAAGCAATTTTTTTAAACCTCTGGGGAAAAATAAGTGGAATCTCTTCTATTTAATGTGAAAATAGTTGGAAGGTTTGAAACACTAACATACATCTCTGTACACGCATACATACAAATATATATAAACACAATTGGATGTTCCTCTGCTTGTTAGGAAAATTACAGAACACACAACTGCATTGTACCTATATTGTGGCTATAAGACTCTTTTCTTGTGGGTACTCACACTTTACTAGTCTCTTTTTTTGCTAATTTGTTAACTTTCCCTGACCTCATAAAGACTTTCATATTCAAACATATTTTCGCAGCAGTTTGCATCCGAGTAACAAGATGTAGCTTGCATTTAGATTTGTACATACACAGTAGAAATTGACTTACATCTTTGTTTATAGGCCTATTCCATTCTATTTTTTTAAAAAAAAGCATAGGCAGCAAATTGAACATGGTCACTATTTGTAAACCAAGTGTCATAGTGATTTAGCTCAATGGCATTTACCAAGAGGAGAAAAATGAATGGAGCTCCACTTGGCTTGCTACACCATGCCTGTTATATTAGCTAAGAAATCTGCATCCTGGAACAGATGTAAGAACAACAACTGGTAGGACATTACCTGAGACACTGTCTGGGACCTGGCAGGTATGTTCAGACCCAGTAACAGTAGGGCAAACAGAATTGTACATTCTAGATTCACATTACATGACTTTTCTGTAGGTTAGGCCATGGCCTTAAGCAGAGGCCGAAGAAACGTTTTAAAATAAACCAATTGACTACTACCTTAAACAGGAAAAATTTCATCAGTGGAATGTGAACCGATCCAACTTTTTCCTCAAAAATGATCTTATGCTGTAACAACATAAGATAACATAACAACCTAGATTTATAGAAAAAAAAATATTGATGGAAGTCCCTCTAGTTTCTTTTGAAGCAGACATAGTTAGATTCACACTTTAGTGTCCACACTGGCAGAACCACCTGAATAGCAACTTTGTGTAAGCAATATTTATATTGGTTATCACTAAACTGGACAGGTAGTTTTGACCTTCACAAAATGTGTGAGTCATATATTTTGTACTGCTGATCTCATTCTTTAGATTGAGTGCTTTGACAACTGAGATCCCAAGCCTACAGTCCAAGAAACAGCTCTTTCCCTAAATTGGAGGTGGCTTTGGGGCAGCCTTTGGAAACCTAACTGGCAACACGTACAATTTTTAAGTGAGAGAAATGCAAAGAAAGCCAGTCCAGCAATCTTTACTGATATGTCTAGCTAGGTCCAGTGAAGATCTCTGCAAATAATTAAATGCAAGGACTAATAGCAATCCAAGCCATATGTAAACATATCTGCCTTTTGTTGCAACAATTTTGTTGCCAGTGTGGTACAAAAAAACCCTCTTTTGCTGTGCACCAGCTTTGTCTTACTGGGACAATTTCTTACCAATTGTAAGGTAGTCCTCTTTTGTATATAATCCTTGAGTCAGCCAAGCGAGTGATGCTTGGTGACTTTGGATGTCAGCTTAAGTGCATGTTTCTCCCCCCCTCCCAAAAAAGAAGAATGTTTGTTGCAATTGTAATTAGCCGGAAAATATTGTCAGCCTGCCATCACTTGATCTTATTTTTCCATGTCTAAGTTTTTGATGTTCTCTGATGTGCCAAAAACAAACAAACAACAACCGCCCTACAATAGCAAAAAAACTTTTATTCCATGATGAACTAACCTTCATGACCAATTTATGTCAGGACAAAAAAAAATACTTCCAAAAGTTTATATGTCATTTGCTCTAGTCTAAAGTAGATACCTGGCTTGTTTCTTCTTCCATTCTTGTTGATGTCATCTTGTATGTTAGAATGATATGGTGTGTTGCCGGGGGTGGGTGGGTGGGTGGGTGGGGGGTTGTTGTTGTTGGTAGTGTTTGCTTAGAAAGGTCCAAAGTTGAGATCTCACACCTCTGCCTTATGCAGAGAAAAGTGTGTCATTCTCACAACTATGTATTTAGAACATAGAACCTCTATCAGTGCTTCAGTTAATATTCCCAAAGCTTCTTTCTTTTTCCAAGAGATTGTTTTCATCAGAGAACTAGGGAGCATAGCTAAGAAAGCACCAAACATGATTTGAATTGGTGACCAGGTTTCACATGCTTCCTCTTAACTCGGTTTCTAAACTACTCTTTTTAGGAAAAGGGATCTGAGACAAGGTATAGTTCCTATGGTTTGCACAAGCTCTTTCCCCAAATAGTTCAAAATTAAGTTTTTTTTCCTTATACTGAGTATGTCAATATCCTTTCTAGACAATTGAGCCAAATCTGTTTCTTATGCCAAGGTGGGTACGTACCTCAGGACCTCAAAATAGTCAGTGACTGCAGCAATAGGTATAAACTTTAACAATGGCTTCTCATGGGTAGAACAATGGGAGGGGCCCATGACTGTTCTCTTAGTTACATGCCAAAATGCCTCTCTCCCGCAGAGCGAAACTCCCCTATTTGCATTGTGTTGAGAACAGGGTACAATTTCCTTTCTTGAATATGACCAGGGTATGATGCTGTGTCAAATGATCAAAACTCTTTCTTGCCTTTGTTTGTAATATGCCTTGCCTGTTTTTCTCTATTTGTAATTGCAAAATTCAATTTAACTTCCCCCCCCCCTGCTCCTTTTTGAAATCTCTGATTGATCGATGGGGCATTCTTGTACAATCTCTCATCAAATGAGAAAGCAATTTAATCAGGAATGGAGACTGTGCCTTTCCACATCTCTAAACTTTTTGATTTCTTTCCTTCTCCTTCCAAACAGAAGACATCTTTCCTCCTTCCATCGCTGGGACCAGAATGACTTTCTGACTTTAGCCATTTTTTCCCCCCAGAATTGTAATGTGCTGACATACATCCTAATTGCCATTTTCCTTTGTTAAAACAAAAGTGTTCGATCTAAAACACTAGCTATGTATTATGAGGTGGTTTGGTTAAAACCATCTCTGGTGTCTACTGTAGTTCTCTACACATAGGATTGGTTGGGAAGTCAGTTATTTCTAGCAACTCCTACCTACAATCTGAGAAAGTGGGGACCGGATGATCCAGCTCCAAAATTAACTTCATAAAATCTTTGTTCCATTTCCTCATGTATAATACTGTGGTTAAAAAAAAAGTAGAGCATTTTGTTCATTAGCATTTGTGTCTTCATGTTGTGTGTTCTGGGGTTGGGTGGGCATATTTGGTAAAAGATGGAGCAATTCTTTTAAAGGGGATAATCCTTCTTTCCAAGAAAATCCCACTTGTGTTACTATTGCTGTGTAATTAAATTTGGAGATAAACCTTTTTTGCCAATAAGGAACAAGGGTACTGCTTTTTCATGCCAATACCTTTTATATAACATACTTGATTAAAGTCTGCCATCATGGAGAAAGAAACAGCTTCTTAAGAAATGCAAAATGGAGCACATATCAACTTCCGAAAACTTTTACTGTGGGCGCCAAAACCAACGTGTGCATGTATGACTGTGTACACGTATAGGTACTAATGTGTAAAATGACCATTTTCCAAATATGTACATTTTTTTTTTAAAAAAAGTCAAGTTTTAGGTCAGTTTAAAATGGCAGATTTCTTTCCTGATTTTGGTGTAGCAATAATGATGATGAATACTAATTTAAATGAACACCATGCTTAGTCTTGCTTTTCTTTTTTATTAAGGGCAAATTTTTGAAAGAAAGAAATGGCTGCTGGTTCCCTTTTGTAAAATCATCACTTCCTTTATTCATGCATGATGTAGTCTTTGACTCAGAGGCAGGAAACCAGACCCCATCTAAGGATCGGAGCCTGGCTGACCTCTGCAATTAATTCATGAACTGAAGAAAGCATTAAACAAACTTCCTGTGTTGGCTTTGTCATTCCTTATTCGTTCTGCTTTTGAAAAGGCCCATCAAAGAGGAATCTTGGAATGGGCTCTTCTGTTGCATGAAGTTTAAACACGTCTGAATATGGATTTCTTTTGCTATTATATTTTTTTATGAAGACACACACATTTTGTAAAATCTCAGTTACTATGCAGAGAAATGTGATGCTCTCTCTCCTGCCCTTGCCTTTTTAGTGTCTGAAATCTAACTCCTTTTTAAAAATAAAATGTTTTGAAATATTAAAACTTCTAAATGTAGGAAGGTGAAAGTCCTCTTTTAATTCAGTGGTGTACTTCTATTTCTTTTTCACACAGACATAAAAATACAGTTTTGTTGAATAAAAGGAAACGGCACTGTTTAAAAATGAAGAAAGACCACCAAGGGCAGATTTTGTAGTATAGTAATCTTGTATAAACTGTAGGAGATCATATTTTCTTCTAATTGGACAGCAGCTACATTTTGATAAACTCACTATTTTAGCATGTAGCATGATAGCAGTAGTAATAACACTTAGACTTACATACTGCTTCACAGTGCTTTACAGCCCTCTCTAAGCAGTTTACAGAGTCAGCATATTGCCCCCAACAATCTGGATCCTCATTTTACCGGCCTCAGAAGGATGGACGGCTGAGTCAATCTTGAGCAGCTTGGAATTGAACAACTGGTGTGAGCAGTGAGTTAGCCTGTAGTACTGCAATCTAACCAGTGCACCAACAGGGGCCCTCATGATTGTTACTTAATATAGATAGCAATAGCACTTAGACTTATATACCACTTCATAGTGCTTTGCAGTCCTCTCTAAGCAGTTTACAGAGTCA